GGGGGCGATGGAGAAGGCGGCGGTTGGAGTTGTGATGGCGGAGTTTTGGAGGGAAAGGAGGTGAAGGGTCGGGGGTGGGAAGGGAAGATATAAATGCTTGAAATTAATAAATTACTACCCCTCTACACAAACAGGGCATTTGGTCTAGTGGTATGATTCTCGCTTAGGGTGCGAGAGGTCCCGAGTTCAATTCTCGGAATGCCCCTTTTTTCTTATTTTCCACTTCAACACCCCCCCACCACCACCACCACCACCACCACCACAAAAGAAAAGAAAAGAGCAGGACAATGTGCCCAGTTTATCGTAGAACGTAGATGGATGTTTTTGGAGAGCATGCCATCCACTGTCAGAAGCAGCCGGGGTTCAAGTACAGGCATGACTTAGTCAGAGATGTCTTGTATGATATCCTCCAAAGAGCAGGGATCCCATCAAAGAAGGAAGCGCCGGTTAACTTTCTCACTCCTCCTGGAGAGGCTAGATCTACCCTAAGGCCGGCAGACATTCTTGTCTACAATTGGAGCGGGGGGAAGCACGCTTGTGTTGATCTCACAGGGGTGTCTCCGCTGGTGGGGTTTGGTAATGGAGAATTCAAGGTTGGGTATGCAGCGGATAGAGCAGCAGAGGCAAAGGTGGGCAAACATGATCAAGCTTGCAAGGACAACCATCACAACTTCATCTCGTTCGCTTTCGATACGTTTGGTTTCCTTGCAGCTGATGCGGCGGAGTTCCTCAGGAGGGTACAAAAATTCATGAATAAGAATGTGGCGACAGCAGGGTCCGCTGAGTACGTGTTTCGTAGGTTGGGTTTTGCAATTCAGAAAGGATTAGCGGCGCAGCTTGTTGCCCGCTTGTCATCATCACTTGTGTAATATTTTTTTATTTATTTATTTTTATTAGATTAAAATAAAATAAATAAAAGCAAAATAAAAGAAAAAAAAAGAAAAGAAAAGAAAAAACCCAAACATATTTTTCTTTTAATTGCAGTGATGGCAACTTGATGGGGTCTGCTTTATAACTTGATAAACTAGTTAAAATCCAAAATGATTTTCAAATTAATATTCAATTAATTATCATTTAGGACAATAATCCTTTTTGTAATCGTTGGTGCAGTTACTACATCCACACATACAAAAAAAAGGAAAAAAAAAGTTGGGGCAAGATTACTTAATGATCCAGTTAGTTATAATCCAAATCTATTTAATTCTAAGAATTACTGGATTTAATACTGTGGATATGCTAAAATCTATTTCACTTAATTTTATTTAAATTATATGACATTTTTCTAATTTACTTATTGAACTATATAAAATAAATTATTCTATAGGATACCATAACACTAAAACTATTTCTACTATGGACTTAGATGTAATGGTTTAATTAGTACGGATACGCAAAAAATCGATGTAACGGTTTTAATAGTATGGATATACTAGAATCTACTTCACTTATAAAATAAATTAGCCTACAGCTTCGGTGCTCCATGAAGATTTGTTAGAGCACCAGTGGCATATCTGTAAATAAATTCCTTAGAAATAGGTCTCACATTTTTAGATAGATAGATTTGACGGTTAGGAAGTGTTCCACACCCAAAATTGTAATTAACTATAGGTAAAAAGGTTAGTTTAGGAAATATAATTTAGGTTAGTTAGAATTCTCCAACTAACTAATATGTCACTTTATAATTTTTAGTGTCTTATTTTTATGTACTTGTGACTTTATTGATATCTCGCTAAGATGGTGATGAAAATGTGAATAAACAACGTTTTGATTAGTGTCATCCCTCAATTAAACTAACAACCTTCAATTATTCATTGCTACTCAAGGAAATTCTTTCAATTAATCATAAAAAAGGAGCAACTGTATGCAATCACACTTATACATTTCCGTGTAAAGGGATGAGGCACATCTGCATACAAGACAAATTTGCCTAGAAGAAATTCAAGAACCAAGCAAGTAAACCCACAGGAATACAAAAAGACGAATTAATGAAAAAAAAAATTAGAAATCAAATTGTTAGGCTTAAAATACCTTTTCTGGATCAACTAAACTTTTGCTTCTGGTGGGGCTCAGTCAAGTATGCCGGAAAAGGCGTAGGAGGCGACGATGTAGGAGAGGTGAGGATCGGTCTAGTTCGAGGAGGAAGGATATGGTAGATAGATCTCTAGAGCGGCGAAGAGAGTGGAAGGTCGGGAAGAAGGCGTAGATGGAGGAGAAAGGTTGGGTGGAGTTGTGGTGGTGGCTCTGACAGCGAAGAATTAGTGCAGCAAGAGAGAAAACGAAGATAGAGCAAAAACAGAGCATAGTTTTGGAAGAGGATAATTAGGAAAATAAGTAAATAGGTTGGACAAAAATGCCCTTCCAGCCTTTTAGATAGTTTTTAAATTTTTTTCAAATTAAAAATGCTAAAATTGCTAATTTGGGAGCACCGAACACTCTAAACTACTACTCTGGACTTAGAGGTAACAGATTTAATAGCTCGGATAGCAGTAGTGCAATTAGATGTAACAGATTCTGGTATGATTCAATACAATAAACCAATAAAACTATCTCCCAGGCAAGAAAACACAAGGACAAATTTAAAAAAAAAGACTATTTTTTAATATTAATAAGCAAAATCGATCCCATACAATTTTATTTAACAAAATCGACCGCACGGGACTAGTAGTCCTGTGCATTTCTCCCAAAACCCAAAAAGCCAACGACCTCCTCTCTCCCCCTCCCAGTCCCTCTCCCTCTCCTCCCTCCTCCTCCGCGAGGCCCACCAGCTCCCCGCCTCCTCGATGACATCAGCAGCAACGGCGAGAGCAAAGCCTTGTTCCGCTCCGCCATTAACCCACCGCCCCAAAACCTTGAACTGTGGTTTTTGATGTGTTTTTAACCCCTCGCCCTGAGCCCCGACGCCACCCTATTCGACCTCTTCCTCCTCATCGTCGTCGTAGCCTTGCTTGTCGCCTGCAGCTTGCGAGTTCGGATCGGGTCGGAGGATTCGAGCTCCGCGAATTGGAGAGGGCACCTGGAAACGTAAAACAAGCCCCCATGCGACTGCTCAAGCTCTCGCCGCCACGCCCACCCCCTTTCCCTTCGCCGCCCGCCGCCTCGGTTTCCCCTCCCCCTCCCTCGCGGTCGATTTTTAGATTTTTGGGTTTTTGGGAGAGGGCAGAGGAGGGAGGAGAGGGAGAGGGACTGCAAGGGGGAGAGAGGAGGTTATTGGGTTTTGGGAGAACCGCACGGGACTAGTAGCACGGGACTACTAGTCTGGTACGGTCGATTTTGCTGAATAAAATTGTAAGGGGTCAATTTTGTTTATTAGTATTAAAAAGGGGTTTTTTTAAAAAAAATTTGTCCAAAATACAAATTTAGATATTTTTTAAATGAGTACATAAAAAAAGGGGCATTCCGAGAATCGAACTCGGGACCTCTCGCACCCAAAGCGAGAATCATACCACTAGACCAAATGCCCGGTGAGACATATGAGTTTTCTTCCAATTAATAGTAGGCATCTCAGTCGAAACGTTTGCTTTCTCACAACTCAATTCTAATCTTCAACATAATGGTTCTAGGCTTCCCTCTATAGGTCATAATATCACCCCGAATCATTTTCAATGTAAAACAGGATCATCATCTTCAATTACAGAGCACAGACTGTAGTTCTATCTTGTAAAATTTACAATTTCATTCAATCAGGGACCATCACTTTGTATACTTTCGATCACTAAAATAAATAACATTTTTTTTATCTTAAAAAAAAACATTTTCATCGTTGAATATAGTTAAAATTAACAAAAGCAACCAGTAAGAGAAAACAAGTCACATTGACTAAAAATAAAATCTTTTATAACAGGCCAATGTTCTTAAATTTCAGTATAGTCAATGCCATTGCAAACAAACCGGACTGAGTATAAAATTGTAACAGAGAGATATTTCAAATATTCAAATATGTTTAATAAAGATAAACTATGGCATTAAAATAACTTGATTGTGTCTCATCTGCAGCGCCATAAGAAAAACCTAATCACAGAAAATGAGCATAATTTGTATGAAAATACCAAAAAAAAAAAAAAAAAGAAGAGGCTAACCCCCTCAAAATATCAAGTGGGAATCAAAACAATCTTTACTTCTCAATGTTCATGGTATAAATTTGATGCAAGCATCCTCCACAGTTGGGGGAAAAAAGGAAGAAGACAGATTACATTTTCAGGAAATAAAATTTCCTCTCTATGATTATCATGTACCAAGAAAGAGCCTATTGAAGAGCTGGACACATGAAGTGCTCAACAGTTCCTACAAGTTACACCTATAGACACATTATTGCCGTAAACAAGGCTAGAATACAACAAATTCGGCAGAAATTATCGAACCTTCTGCAAGAATTGGAGCCATCAATTCTACCCCTCTCCAAATTTATTGTGACGCTCTCCCGCTAATTTATGATAGCATATAAATTGAACCTTTATACACATAAAAAGAAATGAGAGTCACGGAATAAGCTTTTTTAGGCTAATTTCATAGATAGAACGCATAAAAGAATTAAATTTACCATAGACAAGACCAGTTAAGTGCTTTTCATTATAATTTCTCGCATCAAGTCTGAAGGAGCTGTATGAGAAAAAGAGTTTACTGAGCAAAATAAAGTGGTATATGAAATCTAGAGAGAGATGTACTGCAAAAGTACCTGATGAATTTGTGAAGAGTTCAAATTGCCCCATTGCTTGCCTCAAGAACATCTCCTCTCCACTAACAAGAGCGGCTCCACACTCTCGAGCTTCACGCATGAGCCTAGTTACTTTTGGGTTATAAATAGCATCGAACACCACAGCGTAAGAACTGAGAGCTTGCTGCAATGCGTTATGTTTAGTAGAGAATTAGAATGGTATTAATTTGTTTTAGTCCCACATTGCAAATTCATGTAATTGTCTTTTCTTAACCTTATTATAAATAAACTGTCCCTCTGCAGGTAAAAGAGCCAAAAACTTCGCAACAATAGAACACAGCGGAGCTATCCACAATTGGGTGATAGTACAGGGGTTCTATCCGCAATTAACCCTAGTTAAACTTAACATCATGAGAATGCTGACTAATAAATAAAGCTAACAGCTAGCAAAATCATATATAAGTTCTATCTCAAGTAGGTATACAAAGATTGTTATAATAATTAAAACCACTGGTATTATTTATAATCCAGAAGCAAATGCTTGCTAGTCTCCTCACTCAAAAAGGCAAGACAAACTTTCACATGCTTGGCTGATAACTGAAGATGATAAACCTTGCGTAAATAATTCATTCACCTAGTCAGGAAATCAAATTTAACAGAAATAATCCAAATATAACTGAGCAATAATCTAGCAATAACATAGAAGATTTACTTTTACTGGGGAAAAAAAAATTTATCCATGAATTATTCAAAACTGTGTGCCTTGGGTTCAATGCAGCCTTATGATTTCATGGATGGTTTAGAATTTTACTCATCATTTAGGAATTCAATGCAGCTTTTGACATATGTCTTAACAACACTAAATAATGCTATGAAAGCGTCTTTACATCAAGAGACAGTGCATTTAGCCAAATATCATCATAGACATTCAAATTGAATCAATTTTATAAGGGAAAAAACAAAAAAAAAGGACTCAAACCTTAGAAGATAGAGGTGTATCGTGAATGTTTGGATTCATCCCTATAGATGTTGTGTTTGCAAGTACAGCACCTTCCTCCGCATGAAAATTTTCCAACTCAGTAAGACTTAAAGCCTGTCCTCCAACTAAATCAGCAAGCTCCCTTGCTCGATCTACCAATCGGAGAATATATAAATAAATGCACAAAACTTTAACTGCATACAAATTTCTTAAACATAGGCTAGTGAGTACAAAGCAAAAAAGCCAAGAGCCATCATACATAGATTATGATCTAATCAGACACGCCTACAAATGCATAACATATAATTCCTCTCGAAACCATAACTAACATAACAATCAATAACGCTCATCATAGTTCATGACTTCATTCAACATTCAAATAGACAAGCGAAACGAATTATGGAGCATAACAAAGTTAGAAATGATTAACAACAACAAATCCATTATTTTTCATTTTTAAAGCTTGGCTACATGAATCGTCTCCTCCATCAAGTTTAACCGTCATCACACTCTCCCTAAATGCTAAGTTAGAAATGATTGGATAACAAGCAATGATTGGATAACAATCAATAACGCTCATCATAGTTCATGACTTCATTCAACATTCAAATAGACAAGCGAAACGAATTATGGAGCATAACAAAGTTAGCAATGATTGGATAACAATCAATCGAAACCATAACTAACATAACAATCAATAACGCTCATCATAGTTCATGACTTCATTCAACATTCAAATAGACAAGCGAAACGAATTATGGAGCATAACAAAGTTAGAAATGATTAACAACAACAAATCCATTATTTTTCATTTTTAAAGCTTGGCTACATGAATCGTCTCCTCCATCAAGTTTAACCGTCATCACACTCTCCCTAAATGCTAAGTTAGAAATGATTGGATAACAAATAGCATCAAAGAATCATTGCTAACAGACTATCTACCAAGTTAGGAAAACTACTGAAATAAATATAAGGAAAATAATTGAATCCTACCATAGGTACGGTTTGCAATCATAACTCTTGCACCCTTATACTTTGCTCCAAAAGCAAGTGCTCTCCCAGCACCTCCAGCACCTATGACAACAAAAAGCCTACCGGCCAGAGGAGAAACAGTGCCATCTTTGTGCCCCTGCAATCCTGCAGAAGAGCTCCAAAATGAAGGCTTTACATGCCAAAGGGGACATAAAAAATTATCCACTGAATCTAGGGGAAAAAGCACCTCTAATTCCATCCTCAATAGCAGAAATTGCACCAGTATAGTCAGTGTTGTAACCAACAAGTTTGCCATCAGTTTGTCTCCTTATGATAGTGTTTACAGCACCTATAGACTGAAAGGACCCAAAAAAAGATAGCGCAAAAGACATTTATGAGTATATATCACCTAACCGAGATATTGTTTAAAACATGCATAAGTGGGTGAAGCAGCTAAAAAGAATATAATAGAAAAGATCCAATCAATTACCTTAGCAACTGGATCAACTTCATGACAGAGAGTAACTGCTGTTTCCTTGTGAGGCATTGTATTACTGCAAACCCAGATAAAAGTAGAAAGGCATACATGACATGTCTTTTTATATAGTAGTAGTAATATAATGCACAAAGCCAATCATGTTAAGACTTTAGGTTTATAAAGTTTTAAATAGGCCACCATTTAGCATGTGTCACAAAACTAACAATGAAATGGAGGCCAGAGGAAAGCTAAATTTGAGCCCCTTTTACAGATGGAGATGGGTTTTTTTTATTTGAAGTCCCTTCTAGCGATATGGATGTTGGTTTTAGATTTATGTCTATAATGCAATGGATGCTTTATAAAGACGTGACGGCCAATATTAGATCCAAATCTGGCCATAGAGAAATATACCCTTTTTAATCTGATATCTTTCTCCCTAAATAGGGTGTAATGTGCTTTTCAACAGGCATATATTTCTTAGACTTCAATATGTTTAAATACTCTAAAACCAATGAAGATATAAGAACATGCAAACTGCAAGAACACATCTTCAAATAGACAAGAACTTGAGAACAAAAAAGGAGCCATACCTGAACCCAGTAAAATCTGGAGATGAGTAGGTATTGAGGAAATTAGCAAGGTTATCAGTCAAAAAAGGCACATAAACCGCATTGAGACCAACTGCTTTAAATACCGCATTGTGCAACTTAGGGCTTTTGCTATGTCCCACTGGCTTTCCAATTAATCCGTATACTTTTGTATCAACTCCTATCTGCTTGATTCTATAAACGTCCAATAAATCTGACATAGTTGGCTGACCAGGAGCTGATTCTTTTCCAGCACTAAGTGTGCCAAAAGTAAGATACCCTCCAAATTTAGGGCAAAGTATCCGAGAGATCACTCCTCTTTCACCCATGCACAATCCTATCATTGGGACCTGTAATCCCTAATAATTAGAACTTCAGATGCTTAAATAAGAATAATGCTATAGAAATAGTCTGTGATAAAGGAATTCCTGGAAACTTTCATACCACAAAAAGGACAATAAGGAAAAAATTTATTATAAGCAGTAAGATCTTTTTAAGAAATGAGAAAACTGATGATTGCAAGTAGGGCCTAACATTGCTAGAAAAAACTTCACGAAGAGGGCAATTTCAATGATTTATACGCATGTTAAATTTTTACACATCAAGCTTTCCTAGACCTCTGCCTAGCCACCTGTTACACTGATTCTTAACACAAACATGCACCCAATCATATATTTGACTTTACAGGAAATGTTAATTAGTCAATCAAATCCTTTATTATGCTTGCATCAATGTTGTATGTCTTACTTGGCAGTGCACAAGCACTTGAAACATGCGTGCCACATCACAAATGTCGACAGCAAATGTTGCAATCTTTACTATGTCGGCTCCAACAGCTTGTATTCTTGCCACCAAAGTGCTGAGCTCCTCAGTAGATGGAGTGAATTGATAGTTATGAGAAGACACAATGAGCTTAGCGCCCTCTGGCCTCTTCCCTGATAAGAAGTGCAAAAACTCCCGAGCGACCTGCAATTACCAAGATGTAGACCAGGTCAAATTTTCTTCCTTTTTTTTCCCTGGTAAAAGATATAAAAAGAAGTTTTAGCACAGGAACTAACACAATAAATTAATATCAAGAGGACAGTTTCCTATAACTCCTTAAGCAGCATCGTGCAATTGCATGATATTTTGGGGTCATGGTAACGCAACTTTTGTTTTATTTACACTGAGTTGAATGAGTAAAATATAATTTTGCACCCAAAGTCTGCGACTCACTTTTGTCCTAGTTAGCACCACAATAAGAAATTAAAATAGCAGGTGACATAACTAGGAAAATATTGATAGCCAGTCAACATAACATAGCGTGACTTGTGATAGCTATCGCTACTTCTACGTGAAATAACACTACTTGAACCGATGGCTTGTGAATTCAAATTGGTTTTAGTTTGATTGTACCTAGGAGTTCAGTTTGGACTTTCAAAGGTCAACAAATACTATGTTAGATAAAGTAAAATAAATAAATAAATAAGATGTCAAATTTTGCCCGGATGGGAGGGAAAAAGAGTAAGCAAATAGTTAAAGCAGGCTGAAAGTAGCAACAGTAAATGAACAAATGTCATCAACCAAACTTAGCTTTTCTTTATAAATTAAGGATTCATAATGAATACATGTTTATTTATGCAGCATATATTACCTTGAGCTCAACATCTACGTATTCTGCTCCCAATTCCATGGCTAAATGAAGTGCTTCGAACCGTTTTCTATCATCGCCTTCATACTGACCTCCTTCCCACTTTGGCCTATAATGACAAGAGAAAAGGTCAGAAGCAAATTGTGCATATCACATATGTAAAGGTACCCCAAAAGACCAATATTCTAAACAAGCCTATGAATACATCTCACTATTCTTTGCAATTGTGACTTTTAAGAAAGAGTCAATTGGAGCTCATAACATTTACATATATTGAATTATCAATTGCTCAACCATCAAGAGGTAAAAAGTACCAGATTGAACAAGAAAACCACCTCTCAAAGAGTTCATTTAAGTACCTGAGTTTATTCAAATGCCTAAATAATCTCTTCTACTGCCTGAATCTCAACTTCCATCAGTAACATTATCACTATAACAGTGAATATGAGCAGAATTGGGTTTATTTTAGCTCTGTACAATTACACGAAAACTCTAAAGTTATGATGGGTTGAAGGTTATAATTTTATATTTTAGTGTGCCCCCAAGAGGTTAAGAGCTCTTTTCATGTGCCGAAACTTGGCTCACACAAAGGTATTTTTTAAATCTATTTTAAATTTGTGGCTGGTTTGATTTGAACCTGAGTTGGTCTAACATTGTAGTATCCCTTAACAAGTAATAAATTTCACTTCTCTTGAGATAAGATAATATATGCAAATCACAAAGTTTGGGGGGTGTTGTGCAAAAGTTTTTCACTCCCTAATCTCCCTGTCGCCACATCAGAGAACCAGTGGCCTCTTGCCATTTGAACGAGGGTTGGCACCGCCTTGACATGGATATTAAAGATAGGGAAAAAAGAAGAAAAAAAATCTAAAACCGTATCCTTCCACACTCCTCTCAAGCTCTGATTCTCATCCAACTTGACCCCATGCTATAGTAAACAGTGAGGCGTAATTGAGAAGAATATAGGGAAGAGAGGTGAGAAGGAAAGTAGTTAATCAAACAACTCGTAGCAAGGTACGATCTTCTCTCATATTTTACTTGGTTGAGTTCATGTAATAGAGTAAGGGTAAGCTATCTTGTGCAATCAAAGGGAAATTAAAATAAATTGAGGCTAAGTTATGCTATGAAATAGGTTGTGATTTTGGTATTATTGAATATATATATACACACACACACATACACACACACACAAACCCTAGATCAGGCGAGGGGGGGGGTCTTGCTATCGGGAGAGAGAGCAGAACAAGAAGAAGAGGAAATGAAGAGTCTGGTACCAGGAGAATAAAGATAAGGGGAGAAGGAAAATCTCATTTTCACCATTGGTTTACAAAAACAATTTATAATAAGCCCACCTAGGTCACTGAATACAAATTTTGGCTAGGAAAAATTCCATATAATCCCTGCCTTATTATTAATTATTAGGAAATCCAAAAGCTAGTATATGAGAGTTATAAAATTTTGATAAATTGCTAAAGTAAGTAATAAGCTCACATGTACCGTAGAATTTAATTATTATTGATTATATTTGAATTTATTAGGCTTAGATTATGAATTACTTTTACCTATAATATATGTTTGTCCTGAATTAATGATTAGTCTTTTATCTTATATTATAGGATCCGGTTGATATCCAAGGGAGTAATATTTTGGGGACAATCGTGTCCACTAGAGTTGAGTTCACTTCTCACTAGTATTTTATAATATGAAATTGCATGAGCATTATATTTAATTTATCTTGTGATCGAAAAATAAATAATATATAATTTTCATGTACATAAAGTTAAAAGGTGATTTGATCTATTTCTGTTGTGGTCTATCCTATAATACGATGTTAGTTTCGTACAAGATATGAAAAGGAAATTTGATTTTATGTAAAATATGAAAAGTGAATTTGGTTTTATTGCTTTATTTGGAAGCTTTTGAAGAAAAGAAATATTTTGAACGTGTTTCGACAGTTTAATGGATTCAAGATTTTCTGTGACTTAATATCCAATAAAAATAAAGAAAAGTGAATCCATAAACTGTTTTAATTGGGATGATGAGTTTTACCTTCGTCCGTTTCATTTGAAAATATTTGTAAATTCTGATACGTAAAGTATTACTCATTTGACAAGTGATTCTCGATATTTTCAAACCCTTAAAAAATCTACTATGAAATGATTTTGCTTGCCATATGGTGAATATACCTTTATGGCTTTATTTGGCTCATCTGTATGACTGTATTGGCTCCTCTATATTGGCTCTTCTGAAATTTGTTCTGGCCCCTCTGTATTTGGCCAGTAACCTATGACAGTGTTAGGTGCATTCGATTCTCAGGAATTATCTGTTATGTGATGCGTTTTACGTATTCCTATGCTACTGGGCTATAATTCGTAGCCTTAGTGTGAGCTATGAGATAACTTTCACATTCATGAATAACTCATCGAGAATTAAGATTCTAACAATTGACTGTGAAATTGAGAAAATAATTGTTTGTGGAAAAATTTGAAGTAAAAAGAAATGAAGGAAACTTGATCTGTATTTCTTTAATCTCAGTTACAATTGGATTTCCTGATTACAAAAGAGAAGAGAATTGATGCAAATCATCCTCTTTGTTTAAGTCTGGGTTCTTCACGGTGGCGATGGAGTGCCTCCCTCGAATGTTCGCGTCGAGTTTGCTCTCCGTTGACGATCCGCACGTCTTGATTCACTGGAACGGTATCTTCTCCTCACGATTTGACGTTGTGGAGAACTCTGAACGAGTTTAAAACTCTATGAAAGAGTTGATTTAACCGAAATCGGTCTATAAGCCAAGGATGAAAAAAGCTCCTGTTGCTGATCTCCAAAGCTCCAGTAATTCCCCCCCAAAGATCTTTTCTTTGCTGCCAAAAAGAAGGATGAAAGATCCAGCCCAAAATCCCGGATCCGAACTAAGCTGATTTCTTAGTTATTTATAAAGGATTAAGGGGTGTAACCGCCCCCTTAATTCGCTCCTAAGTGGGGCTAGTAAGATGTAACCGCCCCTTAATCCGCTCCTAAGTGGAGTTGTGATCTCCTCAGATCGTGGAAAACGGTTTTGAAACTGTTCAGCTCGTGTTTGAACGAGTCAAACGCAAAATCCGCGTTCTGGCGTGAAATCTGCGTTTGAACGCAGTGTTTGCGAGCTGCGTCTGGCAGCGAGTGAAGCTGCGTTGGGCGGCGAATAGAGCTACGTTGTGCAGCGATATTGAGCTGCGTTGTGTGCGTTGGTAGCTGTTAAAAGCTGCGTTGGCAGCAGTTAGATGCTACGTTTGCGGCCGAACATGAGCTGCGTTTGCAGCGATTTGGAAGCTGCGTTGGCAGTGTTGGAAGCTGCGTCTGAGCTGCATTTGCAGCGATTTGAAAGCTGTGTTGGCGGCGTTGGAAGCTGCGTCTGAGCTGCGTTTGCAGCGATTTGGAAGCTGCGTTGGCAGCGTTGGAAGCTGCGTCTGAGCTGCGTTTGCAGCGATTTGAAAGCAGCGTTGGCAGCGTTGGAAGCTGCGTCTGAGCTGCGTTTGCAGCGATTTAGAAGCTGCGTTGGCAGCGTTGGAAGCTACATCTGAGCTGCGTTCGTGGCTATGAACGCGATGCGTCTTGATGCTGGTACGCGGGGAGGACTTCCACGTCTTGGTTTGAAGAGACCGTCGATTTGTAGTCTCTTTCTGTCAGAACGTTGCAAAGATCGTCGTTTTGTAATCTTTGCTTTAGCTCTTTGATATGTGAGAGTCGTCAGATTGTAACTCCCGATGTTGATTGTGGAGGCTGTTGATTAGAGCTTTCATCAGTTGTTGCAAAGATCGTCAGATTGTAACCTTCATCAGTCTACGTGAAAGTCTTCAAATTGTAACCTTCTGGAAGTCATCAGAGTGTAACTTTCATCATCGGTGTTTTGGTGAGGATCAGCTATCTATTGTGATTTTTAGACAGCCTACAATAATAATCCTCTAGTTTTGTTCAATTTAATAGTTCTTTTTCTTTCTAATGTTTACTTTGATAAAAGGGCCCGACTCTAGAAAATATTACAGTATATTCAGTTACACATAAGAAAGAAATTATAACTGTTGCATTTTCTTGAAGATGCAATATTACGATTTTTGGATCGTATTTTGCTATTTTTGAACCTCTGATGCAAAACTTATAATTTGTTATTTCTGAAAATTATTTTTATTATTATTTTGTTAGTTATCTAAAAACTCTAGTGAGGAATGTTCTCACTGAGCTCTAGTTCACCCCGTTGTTTTAAAAAAAAAATTCAGATCTGGTGTAGCGTCATAGTAGCCAAACTTTTGGTTATGATATTTTGCTGAGAGGCGTTATATGAGAAGCCTCCTTTTTGATATTACATATAGTCAACAATGTGTTTTATTTTGTAAAATGCTTATAACAGTGAGCTTATGGGTTGTAAGTACCGATTATATACATATATATAGTTGCTCTGAACTTCTATCATAAGCAGGTTTATGAATATTTTGAGATAAACTATGTGATATGAAGTGTCAGGCTTGACTCGTACAAAAGACTTGTCTCGTGCACGGGTCGCTGCTGTCGCGTAACCCGTATTTATGAATCTGCTACAATTTTGGGGCGTGACAAACATCATGTCAAAAGTCATGTCATTGCACCAAAACTCTCAAAGTGAAATGAGAGGGTTGACTTGACAGTTATAATTTCATACTATAATGAGATTTAGATAAAAGTTAGGATTATCCCAATCACATGAATGAAATGCACATCACATTTTTCAACAGCCTGCTAATCTCCTCCTTGCAAATCTTCATCTTTCCTATCCAACAACTTAAAAGAACTAATTTTCTCTCAAATTCCCTTCCACCATTAGCTGTTCCTTCCAGCTTCTCCGTCACATTTCCCAAAAGTCCACAACTTTAGTGCAAAATCTGAAAAAAGATTGGAACTTTAATGTTACCTGTAGGTGACTAGAACGGGGAGGGGTCGATTCTTGATCAAGAGCTCGAGGTCCGGCCTCATTTCAAAGGCAGCGAGGTGATCGATCCTGAGCTCGGCCACGTCAGCTCCCTGAGACCTCGCCGCCGACATCTCCGCCACCATCTCCTCCACCGTCTTCTCCACCACCGGCGCACACAGCAACGTCGACCCGAACTTTTCAGCCATTCTCTCTCTCCCCGAGGTTTCTCTCTCCAGAGAAATTAGATGAAAGAGAAAGGAGAGAGAGAGAGAGAGAGAGAGAGAGATGGGGTTCTGTATGGTTCGGGCGACGGTTGGGGCCCACTGCAGACGAGGCCGAGGGGAGGGCAGGGGGAAGGTAGAAGCTTGCTACGCGGTGGGGGGTGTTTTGGTCTTTTAAATTAAGCAACGATCAAATACTTCGTGTAATTCTGTAGCATCGAAAATGGAATAGGCGCATCGGCGGCGCCACCAATTCACAAGAGTGGCGTCATAATACATGAAAATATGATATTACTATTTTTTTAACCCTCGCATTCAATATAATTTAGAATTTTAATGAGATATAAAAGGTATTTAACTAAATATAGTTATAACTGATTTGTACTTATCTTCATATTTTAAAATCTTAGCGCAATAGCTAGAACCATTAAATACATCATTTTCAATGTAAACTGATGTATCTTGATATGTGATGAAATTGAGCCATTAAAGTTTATGTTCTCAAGGTAACTTTATTTTTAGGTAAGACCCTTCAAATATTGATGGGTCAGTGCATACTATCCAAATAATTAGGGCGTCACTTTGTTCTAAAAGCTCACATATGGCTCACTAATTGTGTGATTGAGGGTGGTGTCGTCACTTGACACCACCCTCTGCATGCTAACTCCGCCCCTGAATGAGAGGGAATCATATTTCATGAAAAAAAAAGTATAATTAGCCTAAATGTATCCTTGTGTGTAGCACATAATCTAATTTTAGTAGAAAAATATAGTGGATATAAATAGAGTATCAAAGTGAAATGTGATCAAAACTCTAGCGTATCAAAGTGTCGAAAACCACCATGATGTTGTCAAAGTTAAAAAATGTATAAACTTTGGATAGACTTCGTATTCAAATAAGGATAGACCTTTGCATCCTTGCAAATTGCGAATCACCCCCTTTAGTTCTATTGTTATTATCAGACAAGGAGAAAATTATTTTTTAACAAACAGACCTCATGAGAATCAAAAGGGTAAGAAGGAAATTACCCCTAGCGTCTATTTGCGACAATAGAATTACACGGGGTTTATCCTCGGTTTAATTCTTGAAATAACATGCTTATATTCTGCGTTTCGGAAAGAAGAAAAAAAAAAGCATTTTCTTCTGCCTGTTTATGCCATCCACATAATTTTGAGTTGGATCCGGATGTTTTCTCAACATGCGTCCGTACGAGATGGATGTGGGCCTTGTGGGGGTAGGTACACCAACATCGGGTAGGCCCAACATGAGGTTGGCGGGTAAGCGGGGTGAATCCTGGGCACCAACTCTCCGTAGGCCCCAAGGCCATTCCGGTCTTTTCACGCCTAAATGGTACGCATAAAAAACATGCATACACGCATAAAAAAGATAATATGTGCATGATTTAACCACCACTTAGCGGTGCTGGAATAAAACAAACTTTTTATCTGGAACAATAACGGAAGTCATAATCAAGCACAAACGATGCTGCACTATACTCACAATCATGAACAAACTAGGAACCATCAGGAACCACCGAGTCAAATCCCAAGGGTCAAAACCTTGACGATTCAATGAAAGCACAGAATAGCTTCAGTTAAACTTCAACAAACACTGGATAAAAACATTTCAAAAGTATAACAAACATTTGATGAAAGCATCACAGCCCATTTCTTACATCGATCATGTCAAAAATTAAGCAAACACCCACCATATCACAACTGAGACCAAAACATCGGTTTCACACAAAAAAGATTTAACTTGGTTTCCTCATGTTGCGACCAGCACGGATCACTTCATCCACCAACAACAATTGGGAGGCAATAACGGGCCTGCAATATTACACACAAATTAATAAGAGGTACATGCAGAGTTTAGGCAACAGAACAGGGGAAAATCCTACAAAAAGCTCTCTATAGAAAATCAGACAGCACAAATTTTAAAGCTGATGGTTGTTAATCATTTAAGTTTTTGTTGGGGCATGGGTCAGCTCCTAATTTTCTTATTCAAATAAGATTCTCTACAGAGCAACTCCCATACGACTTTATTTCATTGAAACAACAATTACATACCCAGAATTTATAATTTGCCGCTTCACAGAGTAGTTGTCAAAGATACCCTCCATTTGTGGGTCAATTGGCTCTCCTGTCTGCTGGTTCAAACCGACAACATTCCCTCTGTCATGCTCGCCCTAATAACATTAACCAAATACTTGGTTTATTCACTTCACCGGGTCACTAACAAGCAGATAGTCTAAGAATGAGGAGAAATTTACCGTGAGAGAGATGATGACATCCTGAGTATCAAGGCCAGAATTTTCAGCCAGAGTCTTAGGGATAACAAGGAGCGCATCAGCAAAGGCTACAACACCGAGTTGTGCACGCTGATTGCAGAAGAGAGTTTTAAATAAGGATTCAAGAGCAAGAAATTAGTTGAGAGAGGGAGGCTTGAGAACTTACTCCTTGAACAGTTTTCTTTACATTGTTGATCAGATGCTGCCTCGCTGCAACCTCAAAAGCCCCTGCACCCTGTAATCACAAGCCAATGAAATTTATAAATTAAGAATATTATTGACAATAATTTTACGCATCTGGAGTTACCACGGATTTAGAAAAATGATCTGGTGGTGCAATTATCGATGGTTTGAAATTTCTAAACAAGAATAATTTCTTAGCTTTCTTTGTTCGCATGCGTATCTGGATAGGCTCTATCTAGCACTACTTGTTTGTTTTTATCATGGAACTTGTACAGACAAAAATAGCACAAAGTTTTGATGCCTGCAGCATAATCTCACACTTGCTGCTACTCTTCGTATTTTTTCCTTATGGATCCATACTAAAAATTCTATTTAAGCTTTTCTGTTCTTCAGTTCAGCTACAAAAATATCATCTTTTCTTTCTTGTATTACATTCAAGGTATGAGAGTCCAAGGTCCTGGATGTCAATTGTGTTGTCTCGAAGTGTCCCAGCATCAGGACACGAAAAAATTTGGTAAATACTAGTGTCTCTTGCTAACATAATACTGGCAATAATTGACTCACAACTCAGTGTGTGTGGATTAAAATACAAGAATGCACCTCATCACATGATTACATATATAAGTCAGCCAGAGTAGAGAACAACTCATTATACTGAAATCCAAATAGAGTCCAATTCACGAAAACTAGCAAAAAACATGAAAGTGGTTTCTCCCTCTAAAAGAATATTAGATGATGTAAATCTCACCAGGACAACTGCCTCATCTTCGATTGTATTCTTCACGGATCTAAGACCATCACGAACGGCATCCTTGATTTGAGCAATGGTATGATCATTTGGTCCTGAAGTAGATAAGATGATGAAGAGAGTGAGTTCAATTGCCTTATTTCTAGAAGAATCTGCCCCAAATCCATCCTACCTCTGAATAAATAAGTGTAGAGGAAACAGGTTTTGAGAGATTACTCAAGGATACCTTTAATTAAGATTGTACAAGAATGAGGATTTTTCACGTTCTCCACAAAGGTGTACTTTTCTTCTCCAAGGACATGCTCATAGACAAGTCCAGCCCATCCAAGAGATGCTTCAGTCAGACCCTCCACCGAGTTAACAGCCTCCCCACCACATGCTAGAACTAGCCTTTCCATATTTCTTCTCTTTGCTCTTCGGAGGGCAACTATCTGCAAGTTGCAGTGAAAAGAGGTGTAAATCACTAAACAACTTAAACCTCTAGGTGAGAATAAGGACAGAAAAAGGTTCAGAAATATATCCATAAATAAACAAATGAAAAGAAGAGCCATCTTAAGGTCGACATGTGTCAAAACATAGAAAACAATCTGAGAATAATAGTTGTAGTACTCATGGCCAAGGAGTACTTTTTGAAAGTACAGAATAAGAGATGTTTTTTTCTATTAATACAAGCCAAGTTTATAATTATTCATGCACTAATAAAAAGCCCAAAAGTCTCTAGGAGTTGGAACACGAAATATCCAAACCTTCAGCTGCCAACTCTTGTACGTTCCACCAAATTCCACCAAAACATCACAATAAGCATAGTTATTTAAAATGAACAAGACTAACTCTTATCTTAATTAGTATATAATTAGTATATCCGTACAGAAAGTACATTGCTATAACAAACTTGAGAAATAACTGACTTTTGGGGCTCCCATATTTACAATGTGGAGACGACATCTTCAAATGAAAATGGAAATTGATAGCATTGGGGCTCCCATATTTACAACATGGAGACGACATCTTCAAATGTAAATAGAAATTGATAGCACGAGATAAAATTATAATAGAAAATCATGTGATGGCATCACTAACCCCTGCTCTTGCGAGAAGGTCCAAAGATGGAGGATCAATCCCCTTCTGGTTGATCACAACAAAGTTTTTGTCAGTACCAGCACAAACCTGCATAAACAAAAAAAGAAAAAAGAAAGATCAGAACAAGCAAATGTGAAATACTTTATAATTTGGATCTGCAAATGTGAAATACTAGATTTTGGATCCGCAAATGTGAAATACTTGATAAAACAAGTACAACACCTCCTCTACCTTATTTTTCAGCTCAATGATCTTGTTAACTCTCTCATCAACTTGACGCCTTTCAGCAGCAACCATTTTTTCTCGCTGCTCGGCATTGGAGTAGAAAAATCCGGCATTTATTTCACTGAGATAAAAAAGATTTCTCAACAGTAACAAAGAGAATCAAGTAGACATAAAATCTTAAAATCCTAGCATGATCCTAATAACAGTGATTAAGAGGACAATATCTCAACTAAAATATGAAAAACTTTGGAATAGCAGTTCTAGATACAAGTACAAAATTTACTTTATCACAGTAATACATGTCCAGATTAAATCAGTAAAGGCAATGGCCAATGCTAGAGAATGAAACAATAGTCTGTGTATAATGGTCAAGAAAATATGCAACTGACAAACAGTTCAGCCTCCCATGCACATGCAAGTTTAAAATTCAATTTACAGGTGTGTTCCTAATCCTTGCCACCACCAGGTTTATTTATTTATTTTTGGGGGGGTTGGGGGTGGGGGTGGGGTGGGGTTTAGAGCTCTTGCACTAGAAGGGTAAAAAAACAAGGGTAAAAAATCCAACCACGATGGAATAGAATTTAAAAAGGATAAAATAACAATAATAGACAAATAGTTTGGAAAAAAAATTAGAAGAATAGAGTGAGAATATTTTAAATTCAAACGTTTATTATATTTCTTAAGTCAAATTACTTAATATAGTGTTTCAAAGCAAATATCGAAATGTTACCATCGCGATCCAGACTGAAAGTGTCATCAATACGAAAGAAAAGAAGAAGTGTGAAACAGGAGCTCGAAATTAACTATTCTTGTGTTAGAAACTAAGAAGCTTGATCAGGTTGGATTTCGACGATCTATAACAAATTGACAGTTGGATCTTGACCAGTTCGATGAATTAGCAATCACGCTCACTGGATCCTGTTGCCTCAGCTATAACAGGTAATAACATAAAATCATTTAAAAAGGCAAAGGCATTGTAATAATATCATTTCTCAACAATCGCCTACACAAGCAATTTTACTTATAAGCATATGACAAACAGAATCAAATTAGCAATCAAACTTTCACAATTAGTGGAAAACAAACGTAGAATTCAAATTAATTAATTAAATTTAAATTGAACTAAAAGGTCAAGGAAACAAGTCAGACAGCACTAATATATAAAATGCTTCCATTCTCCTATGCCCCTTATGTATATTAAATCAAATTGTGGGTACCTTTTATCATACTCCAAAGACACATTACATGTCAAGATATAACAGTTTTCTACCCTCCGCTTCATATCAGGGTGTCGAGAGCCATGATCAAGGACAAGACCTTCAACCTTCAAGAAAACAAGATATGCCTTTTAGAAGACTCAACTACACGCTTAATTTTGGAAGAACACGAATATGCTTATGCAACGAACATGTCAGTTAAACTAAGTTTCAATAAATAATAAATAGACGGTAAAGTCGAAAAGAAAGCTAATCTAAAAAGAGAAGCTAATAAACATACCAATCTAGTGTCAACATCAAACTTATGTCGCATATGCATTATTTCCACCATAAACAAATCGATCGGTTCATCAGGCTTGCGGATGCAGAGCACCTGACCATCCAAAAGACATACTTTATAAGATATTCATTTAAATAGATGCATATAGTACATAAACAACCATATAACTGAACAACCATATAGCTGGACAGAAACCAACGACTATTGATTTATTATTATGAAAAGTGCAATATAACCAAGAGCAAGGGAATATCTAACTTTATGAGTAATAAGAAAATTTCAGTGATATCAATAGTGAACAGATATCCTCAGTATCCCCACATTGGAAAACTTAAAATGAAGCTTAAATGTACATGAAAAAAGAATGATCGCGCATGTAAAGCGAAGATATAGACCTCAATAATACAACAAAATGAAAATGGTGGCAACCCATCGAAGAGATTATCAATGCATGAAAGCACAAAAAGAAGGGTAAGTACTTTCTAGCTAATAAAAAGAGGAAATACAAGCATCACATGATTATTACCAGAAATTGTACTTTCAACCATTGGGTTGCAGATTTATAATTTGGTATATGTTTTAATAAAGAGCCAATGCTGTTCTCTGTCAAGTACTATTATTATTGGGTTTCAGCTTTATAAACTATTTACTGTACGTTTTTATTATGAGCCATTAAGGTTACGAAATCATCCTCAAGTTACTGGGACATCATTTATTAGATTCTAACATGATGTACCATAAAGTAATGAAATGTTGAATAGCTCTTTTCTGAGCATGAACTTCTGGTTATGAACATGCAATGTGTACAGATGTATTGGCACTATTGTTCTATGCGCATCTGACATAATTTGTCATAGCATATTATATTAAATATTGTCCTCAGCAACACAATGAATATGTTAAGATACGTCTATATGATAAAATTAGCTTTATTCTAGTAGATATGCTCTTGTAAGAAAAATGGAAACATTTACATTGCAAACTGAGGAACCCAAAATTAGGATAGAATAGGAAAGAGAGAATGATTTTTCACATGAGAAAAACTAATATGAGTTGCTCCCAAATCTTAAAAGAGTACGTAAAAACAAAAGAAAACTCTTGATAAAAAATGCTTGCTCCCAGAAAGATAGAACGACCTACAGCATTATAAAGCTTGCAAAAATATATTAAGACAAATGAACTCACAATAAATACAAAAAATATGTACTTACAGCATTAACCGCAATATCAGTCAACTGGTCAGCTAGCGCTTCATACAACTACAAGAAAAAGAAACAATTTACAGTATAGATCAATTAACATAAAATCCCGGACAAAAACTACTTATAAGAAAATACATGGTGATGCAGGAAAAGAGAATAAATACCTTTGTCCTAAGAGTCGTTCTGGCAACCATCTTCAGTATCTCTTTATCAGGCGCATCACCCATCACAACAGGTGTTTTGAACTTCTCAAGAAATTCCAGCGTTGCCCTCTTAGCTATATCAAATCCATCCACCAATACACGTGGATGCATCCCTAAAACAAAGTTCACCCCAAAATATTACTAATTCAAAAATGAAAATTTCAAGTTATGAAAGAAATGTTAATAACTAAAAGGACTAAAACATAATTTGAATAATGAGTATATTACAGAGGGAGATTCCTTTACATTGAATACTTGAGCATATCTATGGTGGCTTGCATTCAGGACATACTGTATTAGTTACGAATCAGTAAATTACGACAACTAATTGAGCTCTATATTAATAAGTAGAGATTGTCATGCCATTTGGCCTCATTGCTTTCATTAAGCCAACAGTTCATTATAAGATTAAAGATAAAAACAAGTGATCCATGCAAAACTATTAGCAATACCTATAGAGTTATAAAGACCACAAAAAATATGTACCACTTATATTATGCCAAAAGCATGAAACTTTAATAGGAATTCCTTCTCTTCACCAGTTCTACTTTAGACATCTTCACCTTTGTCAGATCCACTTGCTATCATTTGGTTCATATGATCCAACTATGAGGATATCAAGAATTTCCCAACAGAATGAAATCCCAAACCACCTAAATCCGGTCAACTTTAATAATCATTTAACCATGTGCAATTTCCTTGCACATAACCTACAATCCCCATAGAGTTGTTTTTGTTAACATATGTTAATACATAACCATCAATCATCCATCACGTCTACAAGTATCAATCTCAGATGTTTCTTTCGAACCTAAACAACTCTGCAATCAACTTCATCTAGGATCGACCATGGAATAAAGAGTCACAAGCCATGTAAATTGCATTTAACAGTGAAGCCAAAGTGGATGGTTTCAAAAGTTGTTATTACTATTATTATCAGAAACGCCTTAATCGCACTTTACTTAGCACTCGAAGCATCAGCTTGGACAAGAGGTTGTACTGCTGGAGGTACTTCCTCAATCCAATAATACATTCGGAAAAAAGTTATAGCCATTTTTGCAAGGGCATCAGCAACACTATTCCCAGCTCTTTTTACATGAGAAAAAAGAAGCATACAGAATGAAACCTGCATCATTGGAATGTCGTCAAGAAGATCACCAACTTCAGATCGTTTGCCTTTGTGATCAAGAAGATCAATAATTAGCCCTTCATTGTCAGTTTCTACAACAACATTCACAAAGCCCATTTCCTCTGCTAATTGTATTCCCCTTCTTATTGCCATAGCTCCGACAGCCATTAGAGATAGTAACCCATTTCTTCTTTCAGACATTGAAGCAAAAACCTCTGCATTTTCACCCTGTATAACTGCTCCAAATCCATGAAAATGGTGTTCATGAAGCATGCACCGTCAACATTGATTTCAGCGTCCCTACATTTGGGGGCTTCCACTTGATTTCCTTGCTAACCCCCTTCCTGACATCAGTATCTCTCCCTTGGGCAATTTTGTATTCATGCAAAAAAGTTGTCACAAACTACACAGAGCTACTCGACATTCTTGTCTCGTCACCATGCATATAAGCACTGTGATCTCCCCATACAACCCATAGCGTGACAAAAATATGCTCCACCTTGTCCTTAAGCCCGTTATTTATCCAGTCCATTAACCATTGCAAAAATTCTCCATCTTGGCATTGATTTGCACTTAATTGGACTTGATTAAGCACTAACCTCCACACCTCCCGTGCACGATAGTATTTAAAGAGTGCATGGACGATAGTTTCGCAATCAAACCACGCCTACAACAATAAGCACCTCCAGACTCCAGAGACATGCCTTCTCGCACGATTTGCACGAAAAGAAAGCACCTCTCTACAAGCTCTCCAAATAAAATATTTAATCTTATTTGGAACCTCACTACCCCATACCATTCTCCACCAACTCCGGGTCATATCCTCCAATGATGAACCCACTTCGGCACTTCGTGTAGACTATTTTACTCATTTAAGAACTTGAGTGCAACCTGGTATGCGCTTCGCACTGAATATTCACCCTTATTCTCCCAATGACATACTAATATATCAGGTGGTAATCGTGGACTGAAACTGAGAGGGATATTTTGAACCATCTCTGCCTCAAAAGGAACAAACAAATTGTATGTTAGTCTTACTGCATTTTGATGTAGGCGGATCAATCAATTCCAACCCAGTAGCATTGGGCACATCTTAGATTGAGATATTGTTTTTGAAGGACCAAGACCTTGGAAGCCATTTAAAGCGCCATATGTTGTTGCTCGCTCCATCACCCACATGCCATCAAACACCTCTTCTCGGTACCTCCATAGCTCTACATGCTTCTCCAAGTATATGATGGATCTATACAAAGTCACGAAAACCGCTTGGTGGCCTAGGCATTGGACCCGATGCCTAGAGCCTAGGCATCTAGGCGTAAGCCTAAGCAAGTCCTAGACGTTTTCCTATTTTTTATAGTTATAATTACTAATAGTAAATGTCAATATTATAGAAAGCTTAGGCGTTGAACTGATACCTAGGCAGATTTCTTAAATGGTGGTGGACGATGTTTTGTTTAAGGTCGGGAGAGGTAAAGGAGGTGTTCATAGTTGGAGTTTGAAGGAAGTTAGAGGATTTGGAAACTGCAATGAAGGGAAGCATGATCAATGTGTAAAGGGTACAATACATGTAGGCAAATCACCTCTTCTAGGTACCGCCTAGGCACTAGGCGCTAGGTAGGCAGTCAAGATACCACGGACGGAGGCCTAGGCATACACCTAGGCAGGTTAGGCGAAGGCATTTTAAAACACTAGATCTATACCAATAGAAGCATCAAAAAGGAGACTCTAAGGAAATATTTTGCTTTATAAAGCTTGATGAGAAGGCTAATTTGGTCAGTGAGCATTCTCCAACATTTCTTGGACAAAAGAGCCAAGTAAAAGGCTTGAAGATCTCAAAAACTCATTCCCCCTTGCATCTTTAGTACAAACATTCGTGCCCTTGAAAGACAGTGCATTTTCTTTTCATTCTAACTTCCTCCCCACCAGAAGCTATTTAAGATTGCATTAAACACTTTACAAATGGTTTTAGGCACCACAAAGCATGACATTGCATATGTAGGAATTGCTTGCCCAACCGCTTTAAGAAGAACCTCTTGCACAAGATAACAATTTCTCTTTCCAACCTCTAATTCTTTCCACGTGCTATCTTTTAGAATGCTAAGAATATGTTTCTTCGAATGACCAATCATTGTCGGTAAGCCCAAGTATTTATCATGCAATCAAACAACATCCACTTCAAACCTGTCCAATAACCTTTGTTTCACTAATGCATTAATCGCAGGAAAGATAAGAAGTGATGATTTTCTCAACTTCACAAAGCTGACTAGATGCTTCTTTATACAAGTGAATTATTTCCAGAATTTTATCACTCCCCTCTTCCGTAGCCCTAGCAAAAACCAAATTGTCTCTGCAAAAAATAAATGGGAAATACAATGACCACTGCGACAAGCCGAGACCCCATGTAATAACCTATTCAATTTCGCTTGTTTGAGAAGAGAATAGAACCCCTCTGCGCATAAGATAAACGGATAAGAGCAGAAAGGATCACCCTAGAGCAAGCCCTTTGTTATAAGTCGTCTCTCCAAAGGTAAACCATTAAGCATGACGGAGTATGATATCGAACGGATGCACATCATTAGTGATACCCCCTTATTAAAGAACCTCATACGAATCATTATTTTCTCCAAAAAAATCTCATTCTACTCGATCTTATGCTTTGCCCATATCCAATTTAAATGCCATGATGCCTCTTTTAGAGTTCTCTTTCATCTTTATCGCACGCATCAATTCAAACACCACCAAAATATTATTTGTAATCAAACAGCCAGGAACAAAAGCATTTTGACATTCAAAGATTATATTCGGTGAGATGGAGTTTAGTTAGTTTGCTAACACCTTTGAAATTAATTAATAAACTACATTGCACAAACTGATTAGTCTAAATTCTGACGCCTGCTCCGTATTATTCTTTTTAGGAATGAGGGCAATATTCGTGTGGTTCAATTCAGACGCTATATGACCTGACCGCAAACAAGCTAGAATAGTCTTTGACACTTCAAAGACTTACCAATATTTATGAAGAAGGGGAGAAGGCATACCGTCCGGACCAAGTGCTTCCGTAAGATTCATTTGTTTGAGAGCTTACGTAATTTCCTTCAGTGAGAATTCAGTACCCATCAGTGTTTTAAATATCAGCCGCCATGTCGGACATGGCGGCCGATATTGCGGATTCGGAACCTAGCAGCCACGAAATTGTTGAATTTAATGCGTATGACGTTTTTGAGGTCATGTCGGGGACATGTCGAAAAATAACGGATATATCGGGCGACATTTCGATCATCATATATCGGCCAAAATTCAGAAATATCGGTTTCACATTGACATGGTGAAATCATATGATTTGCAATTTCTTTCACCTTCTATTTATGTAAAGTTTCACATTGTTTCCCATCCACTACCCATATGGGTGCTTGTTGTAGGTTTTAATTACTTGTTATTGCATGTGTTTTCTTTATAATGGAAGGCTATAAGAACACATGAATTTATTTGTATTAGGTGCACATATACTTCGGTTTTACTAGTTTCTTGTTTGGAGAAATGACAGATATATAATAAAAATCCTGCAATTGTTAGTCGATGCAGTTAAGTAGTTTAGAATAGCAATTACGAGTTTAATTTTTAATTTCAGTAGAATTTTCTTTTTGTTCCTACTAGTATAATGCACGCGCTTTGTATGTGAACATTTTTTTTGTAATCTTTTTCTTTGAGTGTAAAATTATGAAGTGACTTTTATAATAACATAAATTCTTAAATTGAACAATTAATAAATCTTTACATTAATAAATAAAGTTGTGTATAAAGAATTGTATTAGTAATTTTTATATTCTGGATAATTATTATACTTTAATAAGAATTGTCTAAACATATGCAGTTAAGCTGTTCTAGTGTCTATTTGGTTTTCTATGCAAAAGCAAAAACTTGGTGGTTGCTAGTGAAAATGAAGACCTTCTCATATGTACTTTTTCATATGTTTAGACAATATAATTATCAAGTATGTGAAGATTCCATTTATGATATTATATCAACCTATCCGATATGGTAATCCGATATTTTTTTCATGTCCCCCGATATATCCCCGATTTCCGCTATCCGACATGAATTTTGGCCGAGCGACATGAACCCGACATCCGATATTTAAAACCTTGATGAACACTGTTGGCTGCTTCCTCGAGATCCGTACTATTCATAGGGGGTAGCCTTCTTCTTCATCATGGAATTTATCCCCATTCTGCCACATCATCGACGATCCCTAACCTCCAGGTCGAGGCCCCGCCCTGCTTCCCATCAGTTACCTTATATCTTGAAGGGGCTGTGATTTCTCCTCTTTTAACTTGAGACTTTTTCCTTATATCAGTCATTTTAATAGTTGAGACTTTTTACCTTATATCAGTCATTTTAATAGTTGATTTTCCCAGCTGAATCCTTCTGAACCCACCGTCAACTTCTACACATGGACCCATTGAAACATTCATAGCTTCTTTGAAACATTCCAAAAACCAAGCACAAGTCTCGCTGCTCTCTGATTCCACTCGGCTACTGTTATAGGAAACCTGTGCTTTTAATGCGTGAGGCGCAATGCGGGGCGCAGAACATCTTTACGCGCACATGCGCAAGGCGCAACGCGATGCGCGCGTCCGAGTGATGCGAGGCGCACACCGCCCACATAATTTTTCAAAATACATAATCAAGCATGAAAGAACATATTTTTAGAATTCACTTGAAAAATATCATGATAAATAATATCTTACTACAAAATCACAATATAATGCCTTAATTTCTATTGCTAACACCCATGTGTTTTCTTTATAATGGAAGGCTATAAGAACACATGAATTTATTTGTATTAGGTGCACATATACTTCGGTTTTACTAGTTTCTTGTTTGAAGAAATGACAGATATATAATAAAAATCCTGCAATTGTTAGTCGATGCAGTTAAGTAGTTTAGAATAGCAATTACGAGTTTAATTTTTAATTTCAGTAGAATTTTCTTTTTGTTCCTACTAGTATAATGCACGCGCTTTGTATGTGAACATTTTTTTTGTAATCTTTTTCTTTGAGTGTAAAATTATGAAGTGACTTTTATAATAACATAAATTCTTAAATTGAACAATTAATAAATCTTTACATTAATAAATAAAGTTGTGTATAAAGAATTGTATTAGTAATTTTTATATTCTGGATAATTATTATACTTTAATAAGAATTGTCTAAACATATGCAGTTAAGCTGTTCTAGTGTCTATTTGGTTTTCTATGCAAAAGCAAAAACTTGGTGGTTGCTAGTGAAAATGAAGACCTTCTCATATGTACTTTTTCATATGTTTAGACAATATAATTATCAAGTATGTGAAGATTCCATTTATGATATTATATCAACCTATCCGATATGGTAATCCGATATTTTTTTCATGTCCCCCGATATATCCCCGATTTCCGCTATCCGACATGAATTTTGGCCGAGCGACATGAACCTGACATCCGATATTTAAAACCTTAGTACCCATATTGTAGCACATTTCATCGGTCTCCTTCGGTTCCACTGCTGCAAGACCCCCTCATACAACGTGGTCCAATGGAGGTGTAAATGCCATCAAAATATGAGGTTAGAATATGTTCTGCTACTTCACTCTAATGGCCATTGTTGTCTTCTAGTTTACCTATCTTATTTGACTTCTTCGTTGTGATGCCTTTTTATGAAAGTAGGATGTATTTTCATCTCCTAACTTTAATCACTCCGCTCGAGACCTCTGCTTCCACATTGTTTCCTCCGCCAAGTGAGAGTTTATCTCACGTTTTAGTTCTTGAATCTCTCTAATTACTCTCAACATTCTAGTATGTCTCATGACCCTTTTTAAACTATCTTTCTTCTCCCTTATTAGCTTTTGTACATTGCCAAACAACTTATTCCAATCAGATAAAACTTCCCCACATTTTTTGATCCGGAGCCCTAAAGAATCTTCCTGGCATGAACCACCTAAACAAAATATTTTCTTCGTCTTAACTCGCCTTTTTAAGCGCTTTATCAAATGAAGTACAAGCTGTCAATGGTCCGAAGAGGAAACATTGAAACAACATGACTAACTTTCGCATTTAGAAAAATCGTCATCCAATCCTACAATGCCAAACCATAATTAAGCCTCTTGTACATACACACCGCCTGCACACGTTGATTCTATGTGAATGTTGGCCCGATAAAACTTATATCATGTACCCCGCACTCATCCACCACTTTTCAAATATTGTCATCTTGACTTATTGATCTTGCACAACTTCCTACCTTTCCCTTGTAGTTTACAATCTCGTTATAATCACCAATACAAGCCCATGGTAGAGAGTTCTAATGTTTCAAGCCTCGTAGTAGTTGCCAAGATTTTGATCTTCGTTGTGTTATAAGGTGTCCATAGAAGCCGATTAGTCTCCACTTCACAACCACCAAAATCACTTTACACCCATGTATCAATGAAGCTACTTGTGTATCCCTTGATTTCTACTGAGAATTCGTTACCCTCTTGCCACAACATTGCGAAACCACCTCCTTTTTCAGCACAATCTACCGCACAACAATTAGTAAAACCCAACTTTAAACAGACAGCCGTCATTTCACGCGCCATGAGACATGTTTGAAATAGAAAGACCATCCGAGGAATTTTAGTTTTTACAGCATCTCATAGCATGAACTGTCCAAGGGTTCCCAAGCTCTTGACAATTCCAAGCTATGATGCTCATTACATTTGGAGGCCCTGTTTTCCAGCCACCGCTGATAACTCCGATTGCACATTTATATCCATATCTTGAAGCACAGACTCCTTCCTCTCCTTTTAGCCCACATTCCTTTCTTCAGAATGGCTCATCTTCCTTGTGCCCAACTTTATTGTGTGGATCGTTAATAGCTTGTTCCATGTAAACTCCAAAGCTTGACAATGTAGACATTTCCATTTGCTCACCCCATTATCTATTTTATTATAGGCCTTAGCTTGAGTTACATTATCAGCATTTGTTGTCTCAAACAAATCCTCCCCATCTTGCTTTGACACTACTGGCCCACAATTCATTCTGATTTGCATACATCCAATTTCCTAAAATTTTGTATCATATCAAATCCCATGATTCTTTCTTAACACAAATCATGATGTTTCTTATAATTTTTATTTTGTTGCAAAATTTCAGCACTTCCATTGTTGTCACACAAGTCTTGGTGTTTACCAGATTGGTCCTTTGATTTCGTGCTTTCCATATTTTTGCTTGATTCCTCATCTTTGATCGCCGCTTTCCGACATCCTTTCTTCCGATTTCGATCAGCCATCCGACCTTCACTATTAGAAAGCTCTTGTTTTCCACTTCTCACTTCTCCACCGCTCCCTCCTTTGGCTCGACGACCCATATTTCCCACTCTAATCCAATCCCCATATTCGTACTCTATTTTTTCACCCTTCATCTTTGATCAAAGCATAGCTTCACAATCCCTTTCACTGTGGTTTAGAACATGGCATACATAGCAAAGATTTGAGTGTCTTTCATATTGAAATGCTACGCAGAATGGTTCACCATGCTCGACTGCTAACTTTGAACCCCTACACAGTGGTTTTGTTACATCCACTAACACCCAGATCCGAATGACATGCCCCAAGATCTGCTTGTCCCCACCGTCTTCTACCTCCCTTCCCAATCTTTCTCCCCCTTCTTTCACTGATATCCTTCACCATCTGCGATGACAAACGCAAGAGCAGTAGACCTGAGATCTGCACCCATATTGGCACAAAGTTAATTTGCAAATCTCTTAACTTACATCCTTCTTCCACCGATTGCAAAACCAATGTTTGTCTATCAAAAGACCATGGACTTCCCAACATGATTCTCATAACGTCTGATTTTTTAGACAAACAAAGCGAAAAAAACAACTAAAGCCAATCTCTTTTATCACCAGATCCCTTCAAGCCTCCAGATCCGTTTCATCACGTGTAAAAGCTTGTAGATTCTCCGCCTTCATCGAACATAATCGACCCACCAGATACAAATCCCTTGATTCATCTGCAGCGAGAAGATCATGAGATTTAATTCACTACTTCCTCTTCCACAACCGTTAACTTAAGCCCCTGCCACATCGCCTCTAGTTCCTCCGCCATGGCTATTACACCAATTGCACCGGACTTCAAAGGGTTAGGATACCCTAGAAGACACCAATCACCCTATCCAAAGGATAAGGTCCAAAGGATAAGGTGAGTTGTAAACCTCAAATGAGAGCAGAGAGTTGTCGAGAGGACCAATATTCGCTTATTAGTTCCTCAAACATGATTAAACAATAGCCATGATATAAACAGGTAAAACTTGGAATATTGCACAAGCGCATTTTTTATAATTGGCTTTGACCACTATAATTTATTCTTGTATATCAAATAAAATAACTACTAGTTAATAATTTAGCATTTGCACTAACTAAAAAAGTATGCAAATTGACCAGCACAGACAAAACAACCCATTACAGAATGACACACGTGATGAGTATCCTTTGCACATATTGGAAATTGGTCAATTGATCAGGCCACTTCAACTACAAACTTGCTATCAGTATTACCATCACTATAAATGCATTAGACTAAGTTTCATAAGGAAAATGCTCCCTTGACTTCCAAAATCATTGCTTACACTAAAATCTCAGTCACAGAATCACTCACTAACAGCAACAAATTCATTTTTTTCATCCCATCCTAGAATAGATCGAAGTTAAGTTGCTTGTACTATCTAAATATATTAACTCCAACTAAATTTAGAGTTACCTTCATCAATACATCTCTCAGATTGCTTCATCAACTCCCCAATAAACAACACAGTTGACGTCGTCCCATCCCCACTTGCATCATCTTGAGCCACCGCCGTCCTCGCAATCATAATAGCCGTAGGGTTTTGAATTTGCTGTTAAAAAACCGGTCCAAATTAAGTCTCACAGTCTCAAAAAGATCAAAACTTCACAAGTGATTCAAAGATCCACTACCATTTCCTTCAACAGCGTGTTCCCGTCCTTAGTAAGCTTAATATCTCCAGCTCCACCAACAAGCCTACCAAAACCAAGATCAAAACAAGAAAAAAACGTACAAAAATCAAAGAAAAAAAATAAAAGAAAGCTTACATTTTGATGGTTCCTTTGGGGCCGAGATTGGTCTTGAGCACATCTTGAAGGCCTTTGGCGGCGTTGATGTTCATGTGCAACGCCGAGGACTTATTGAGGACCTCGGCGTTAGGGTTTAGCACTCGAATCGACATTTTTGTTCGTCGATCTTCGCTTGAGGATCCAAGGTTTTAAGATTAGGGTTTGAATCGGAGGAGGAGAGTGTAGGCTTTCGAATGGGGTTTTGGAGAGAAGTGGGAAAGTCTCGAGCTTTCTGCACCGTTTTTGAAGTGGGGAGAGAAACTAGGGCTGGAATTCTTAGCGGGTCGGGTCCAGGTCCATGACCAAAACAAAAACGGGTTGGATCCGTTTGAAGTGGGCATTTGCCGCTTCACCCCTACAATCTATTTCTCTCTATGGGATCTTAAACAGGCAAAAGATATCAAAATTAAAGGGAAAAAAAAAGTTAATAAAATAGATCAAAGCTTCACTACCAATTCAAAGGTTTGTATGACAACAGAGTATTTTTTATTAGCTTCGGCTACAATAAGCTATTAAAATGGATCAATTTTCTCCAACCAAGTCACATTGCTCACGTCAAGAATGATTTTGGCGTCAAATCATCACGCGACCACATGTGATTTTTCTCTCTACACTTTCAAACACTGATGTGGAAGAGATTACCAATGTGGCAAAGTTAGTTGGTATCTTTTTGAGTGGATCAAATTTTGAAATTTGGGCTCACTTTAAGTTTGGACTCAAATTGGGGTTCAGAAGCTTCGAAATCATTAAAAAAAAGGGTCGTGTGGGATCACGTGATGATTTAAGGCAAAAATCATCGTCGGTAGGGGTGTGCAACAGTTGGTTTGGTTTGGTTTTTACCAAAATTTGAACAACTGAACCGAACCACCTATAATTCAAAACCGAACTGAACTGTTACAAGTCGGTTCGGTGTGGTTCGGTTCGGTTTGTTCGGTTCTAACTGCATCAAACTTCTTATCAAACAACAAACTGTGTTAAAGAAAAAAAGATATCAATAAAGTAGAAAATTATGAAGCATTAAATACTGATATAATGAAATTGTTTTCAACCCATGATGATTCGGATCCTAATACATATGCATCATACTTAATGTCCAGAGTTCAAACTGTTAAAGATAAAACAAATGACGAGTGACGACAACTAACATAACCAACAAAATTGGAACATAATTTGGAACATAATTTTTATCACAATCAAAAATGGAAAAGGCATAGGAAAAGTTTTATCACAATTCTTGCCTCTGAAGAGAACTTGAAATTTGGAACATAATTTTTATCAAGGGTCAAGCGTTGAAGCATCATCCACTAACATAACCAGCAAAATTAAAGATAAAGTTGAAAAGGAAAGGGAGGTTGAATATTACATATGCTTTCTAAAGAATAATCGCAGTCAACATTGAATGAGAAGGAAGCTTGAAGAAGAGCAAAAGAACATCACATGACAAGAAAAGAGATCACTGAGATGTAGAAGAATGATTTTCAGTTTATATCTCGATCTCGACGACGGCGATGGGTGCGGGTGTCCCCCTAAAGCCGGAGATAGATCCTGAGCCTGAGGAGATGTTATGGCCTCGGCCATGAAGACCGCGGAGTGCTGGCGGCTGAGGAGTGAGAGAGAGTGAGAGAGGCGGACAGAGAGTGAGAGAGAGGAAATGAGGAGCAGCGACTGGGAGAGGAAATGAGTTTAGGGTTTGAGTCTTTGACTCTTTGGGGACGGGTCGGGTAGGGTTTGAGATCAGAATGAGTAGTATTGCACTATATTTGGCCAGTTCGAGTCGGTTCGGGTTGAAAAGTTTTTAAGCCGACCCGAACCGCCCTACTCATAAAACCGATTTTTTCGGGTCGGTTCGGGTCGGTTCGATCGGTTTTTTCGGTTTGGACCGAACCATGCTTAGCCCTAATCGTCGGGCATGAGCAATTAGATCTAATTGATGAAAACTAATCACTTTTAATACATTGTTATTTCCGGAGCAAATAAAAATATCCTTTTGTTAAATATGTTGTACTAAATATATCAATATAGCAATTTAGCAGCTAAAATTCATAAGGCTCAATTAGCAAATGAACATGTCTCAAGGGTACATCTGTAAATATTATTACATCTAGGGCGTATATAGACAAAAAGCTCATATCTTGAAGCGAGAGGGGAGAACTTTTGTTATGTCATCTCTTGTTAGCTTGAAATTTAACGGTCTTAGTAAGAGAGGTATCGTAAATCATGTAAAAGTTTGTTCGATGTATACCCTTCAATTTATAGGCATTTTGGATTTACCTTAAATTAAATCTTAGTGTTAATGATAGAATGGCAATTAAATTTTTTGACAATTAAATTTTTAACAGTTTTTGGGTTAAAATTACCTTAATATGCCAGGTTATATATTTTGGGGGAACAAAATAAAACTTAATCCATTTATAACTCAAAAGCCTACTCCGTTATCACTCAAATACCCAATCCACAAACACTAAACCATCGCTTCTAGTTCTATGTCATGGTGCGTATATGTTCTTTCTATTCATGAACTTTTTTGATGTGCGCAGCGGCAACAAAGTAGGATATCAGCTCTTTCTCTCATCGTGAAAGTTTCGACAGCACCTCGACACAACAAGAGAGTAAGATCACAATAGGAATTCTCGTTTCACCAAGAAAACAAGAACCAAAAGTAAAATATCTCAACAAAGTGGGATATCAGATCTTCCTCTCATGACAAAAAATTTCGACAGCACCTCAACGCAACAAGAGAGTAAGATCACAATAGGAATTCCCGTTTCACCAAGAAAACAAAAACCAAAAATAAAATATCTCAACAAATGGGATATCAGCTCTTCCTCTCATCAGTTCTAGGACTGACCTGTCGAGGAAACCTAAATAAGCTATTACAAATCACAACACAAATAACCAATTTTAACGTGGTTCGGTAAGTTACCTACGTCCACGGGGCAAGGAGGGGGGAGATCTACTATTAGAGGGAGAGAGTACAAATAGGGTTTACAATCACACAAATTAAACCCTCAAACAATCTCTAAAATCTCTCACAAAAAAAAAACAACCAACATCCTCTGTAATTCTTCCCGAACTATAGTCGAAAAACCAGTCCATTGTTTTCCCCTTGCACGGCACTCAAGCCGACGAAGCCCTCTCGGTTTTCTTTTCACGAAGTTCCATGCTTTGCTCACCGCCAAAAACCCTAAGATCTGAAGCTATATATATAGCTTCAATCGGGTGGGCCTGCAACGTGCCTTTGCACGAATCATCAATGTGTGTGGCCCCTACTTGCCGCTCACGTTCACACTTCACGCGAAATCATCAACGCGTGTGGCCCCCACTTGCCTTGAAAATGCGTCATTCGTTCACATTTTTCACATCTGATGAAATTTCAGAAGAGAAATTAAACTTAGGCTTCTACACCCTTGCTCAAAATAGTCCTCAACCCCATTTGGCAAGGGGTCAAGAGAAGAGTTAAGAGGGTTCAACCTTTTCTTAACCATCCAAATAGGTTAGTTTGCCCAAAGGGTAAACAAAATATTCACAAGAGTTAAAATTAGTTGACCACTCATTTAGAAGGCAAAGAGTTACCCTCTAGAATTAGGAAATGAAACTTTAAAAGAGAATTTGTCAAACACAAAAGACGTGACCCTTCATTCTGACTATCAAATCCGAACAGAATTAAATTATTTTTAACTTCTAGTAACGGGTTAACTAAATTAGTCCTTCCCATTAACCCTTCTCCCTTAACACCCTGCTAAACAACACGACTCTCATCCGATTCTAATCTTTCTACACAATTTAAGCATAATCAAAGAGGCTCAATTAGTCACAGAGAACTTTCCAAAAGAGAGCATGGTCCTCACCAGCGAGTAGAAACTGAAATCCATGATTTGCGTGAAGGCAAAGACGTGTTGTCTTCGCCGGTGATGAAGCTTTGTCCCCAAAAATGAGGTTTTGGATTCGGGCTTTTTGAAAGAAAACAACATGACTCTGCGAGAACGATATCAGGCTCTTAAATAGTAATGGGTTAAAATTTAATTTGGTTATTTTTCTTTTCAAAATAGCTAAACTCAGGGTATTAAGGTAATTTTAACTTCAAAACTGTTAAAATTTTAACGGTGGTTGACATGGAGGGTAATTTAGAGCGACTAAAAGAATTTGAGGGGCAAATTTAAAGTTATCATGATTCGGAGGGTAAATTTAAAAGTAAGATCAATTTGGAGGATATTTATCGAACAAAGATCCGTCATATAGATGAATATAAGGATATAATTAGAGGGTACACATGAAAATAAGATAGATACATAAAGAAACAATAAGATAACATGTAACAAGCAAATAAGCATGCATCAGTGACCCGAACATTTGGGAGGTTCCAATATGACTTCCATAGTCTTAGGTTTCGACTCCAAATTGGGTTAATTAGAAAATAGGGGCATCATATGAAATTAGGTACATCTCTCTTACATTAGAATGCGAAACCATCACAATGAAATGCATCGTGATGAGTTTACAACTTAAAGAGCCAAACCATCCAATGGTATATGCTCAATTAAGCTTCTCGTCCTCCGAAAGAATACATGCACATCACTGCTCCTCTACAGAATTCATTCTCAAAGTTATTAGATGTACAGCTGCATTTGCAGATGAGAATACCCCATGAAAACTTTCTTGAAAAGAAACATTCTTTAGATCTCCAACCATACCCATCAAAATCTCACCCAAATCTGTTTTCTTCGCCATCAGGGATTCATAATATGAGCGTGCAGCAACCTTGCTGATCTCCTCGTTGGCAGGTTCAGGGCAGTACTCATCGTCCAGCCATTTGTGCAGAGCAGCTCTAAGCCATTCTGATTCCTGTACAAAAGAATTGGTTTCAAATTTTGAGAGAAAATATTCTTCAAGCAAGTGCGATCACCTAGGTATTTTAGTACATCTGGATTCTACGATAGATAATGGCAGTAAATACTGAGATATATTCGTTCCGATTATACAAACATGTATGACAGTAATATGAGGAGTACACATAATTTCTCATTGAAGGGGCAGACCTAAAATACCCATTCATACAGGCAAAATTTCTGCTCCTATTTTGAGAGAGATTCTACCTTGAGAGTCAACGAGTCATGATCCTAAAACGGATAATGTATATAATTCACCCTGTCCGCTTTCTTGCAGGCTTTTTATGATTGTAATCAAAGAAGAAACCAATGGAAGAACTAAAGCATGTGGGGCACAAATTACCAAGCTAATTGGGCATATTGAATTTGGGCAAGGTCAACAGTAGCATAAATGTGCCCTGCACCTATAATTTCTATGAAGGTCAACAGAAGCATAGATATGCCCTGCGCCTTCAATTTCCATGCTGTTCAGATTTGAGGATGGAGATATTATCTTGTGTGAAATTTTGTAGTAGCCAACACTCAGCTTGCTTTCTTGATTCTCCATATAACTATTGCCTATGCTGCAACTATTCATTGAACATTAGAGCTTTTGTGTCATACCTCCAGTTTTGAATTTCTCTTGAAAAGGTAGGACGATGGGTAGGACAAAATAGCTAACTCATCCTTAAAGTATCAAAAGCACTTTGAGTATTCAAGGCAAATGCAAAAAGGGGGGACATATTTACGGAACTTTCCGGATGCCTCGAGCTTATATATTTCTCCTGATGTCACCTTCTGTATCTTATACACACACACTATTACATAATGAGAAATTGTGCATGTTGGGCAACTATCATCATGCTTCATATGTAGGGCAGCACTTGCAAAGGGATTCAATTAACATTGACAGTCAGAATTGAGAAAAATTATTGCAAATGAATTAACAAGGACACTTAATATGCAGTTTGATCGGGGAAAAGAGTAATGCAGCGTAAAAGCGAAACCTGTCATTTTTGGACGCATACCCTTGCAGGCTTTCACAGATGACATATCAAACACATCTAAAGTCTAAAATATCTGCATCTATTTGACGTTATGTGCATTTGAATGTGCCTATAAACTGTAGTAATATCTATAACCTCGAATTAATAATGACACGTATAATTATTCCTTGAAGAAGGAACTTAAAAAAATAAAAAATGGGTACACCCATTATCAAAATTTCATAGAAAGACTAAAAGTTTATGTACATTTCGATATTAACTTCAAATGAAATCGCACGAGCTAGTAATAATCTACAGCTACAACCTTGGATAAGGATAGTATGCGTCGCTCACTTGAAGGGAAAAAATCTAGGGGCAATCGAGATGAAAATATGATTATAACCAATGCCCGTGATATAAAATCACGACCCTTTGCAATCTATCAAAAAGACCCAGTTGGTAAAATAAACTTACTCTTATAAGAACTAAAAAGAATGAGATTTTACCTGCAAAGCTTTTGAAGGATCCAACCAAGACTCAGGAACTATGAGAGACTCAACAAGGGGGCCCTCCTCCGTGGGCCCCAGTCCAGAGGGTGAGAGGTGGTTGGGTCGGTGGGCTTCAGAGGTCGGTATGCGGGTGGATGGGAATCGAGAGGCGGGTGGGTTTGCGGGTAGGAGAGTGGACGGGGGTTTGAGAGAGCGGTGAGAGAGAAGGGGAGGCGGCGGTGAGGGTCTTAGGCTCACCGGGTGGAGTAGGGATCCCATGGAGGAGGAGCTGGGGATAGAGCTGACGGAGGGTGAGGTCGTTAACGCGTGTAGCGGGAGAGAGAGGAAATTGGGTTTGGGTTGTGGGGCTGGACATTTAGATCCGACCCGGGTCCTGACAAGAGAGGGCGAAGTTGTACTTATTATTTGTAGTTGGGTGGTGTGATAAGCATACTACACCACTTGCACTACTTTAACACTACCCCTTATAAAAGAGTGGGGTCATGATGACTCACAACTATAATTTTCAAGTGATGACTCATCATGATGCTACTTTTTTTGTGAGTAGCAGTGCCAAAGTAGTATAATGAAGTAGTGCACAGTGTCAGGCTTTCACCCAAAAAAAACCCTCTTTTTTTTTGTTCCAAACAGCCCCTTAGTATTTTTCTTATTTGTATTAGATAATCCCAAGTATGGTTGTCTCCACCTCTAAGTCCACCATCCATTTATACCCTCCTCGTTTCTCAGAATTCTTAGAATCACGCACAATCTTGCGAATCTCTTTTTTTTCTCTTTTCTTTTTTATTGATAGAATTTTGCCAATCATTTAAATTAGGTTAAATAGCACTTAAATTCCATATAGTTTCACCACCTTCACACTTAACTACGCTAGGTTAAAAAGTTAGGGCAAATAATCACAGTGAATGAAACAATAATTAAAATAGTCTATACGTAAATCAAATAAATAGGGTGTTTAAGCATAAAGATAGTGAAATAATAGGGTATTTAAATGCCATTTAGCTTTTTTAATTACCTTTTCCTCAATGAGAAAACTATTATATCCTCTCCCATTTTCTTAAGCTTGGTTTTTTTTTGTTTTTTGTTTTTTTTTTTTTT